CCAGGCTCGCGAGCCTGTGCCGTACGTGTCCCTCTCGCAGCACGGGAAGGTGAGGCCGGACCCTCTCCGCACGCCCGGGTTCTCACCCGCTGCCCGCCCGTGGTGAGGCGGGCTCCGGTGCTGTTGCCAGCCCGGGGAGCAGGAAGAGCCTCTCCCTGGCGGGGAAGGTGGCCCCGTGTCGGCAGGCGCGCACAAGCCTCACAGAGGTTCCCGGAGAAGCATCCCAGGATGGCACCTCTGGATCGGTGCAGTATTCTGGTGTTCCTGCGTCTCCTCCTCTGTAGAGTAATGGCAGTCCTCAACTTTCCGGCCTTTATTTTAAAATTGGACTAGTCCTGCTGCTTTCTCTGGTCTTCTGACTTCTAGCTGCCTTCTTTACCAACCTGTTCTCTGCTGGGGTGGGCACATCCAAGAGAGTGAATTTTCAGTTCAGAGTCTGCTCCCTGCCTTGCTCAAAACTCCTCATTGCATATCTCAAAGCCCTGCTGGCTTTGTATTTATGCTGGTTATGTGGCTACTCTTTGAGCTGGAGATCTCAGCAGGCATAAGATAAATATGCTTCTGTGGGGAATGCAGGGCCTCTGGCCCTTGTCGTCAGACCTGAGCATGTATTCTTACTTGTCACAACTGCCAATCCAAACATGGTATCTTCTGCCTGAAGATCTCCTCTCCATGCTGGTCAAGTTGCACACTTCTTCTCATCTCTTGCACATATGGGTGCTTCTGAGCTTTGAGAAATAACTGCTTGTCAGACTGGTTCCTGTGTCTCTGCAGGCCTCATTGGGCTTGCTACCCAAGGCATCTGTCAGTTGTCCTCTATATGAGGAGAGGTTAACCAATTTTTTCTGGGCTGAGGTCCAGCACTCCCTGTAAAACATGTCTGAGCATGTGGGTTGTGCAGCTCTGAACTGGGGTTTCACCACACTCTCTTTCCCTGTTCTTCTGGTCCCAGGGACTTAATCTGGCTTCTTCTCCACCTGTGTTGATCCCAGACAGGAATGGGGCCCCAGGACTTTGTGGGAACTGAAGATCTTTTGTTGCCTGAAGATCCTCTGTGCCTGAGGAAGATTCTTGGAGTTTGAGGCTGGGTGAGAAGAGCCACTTCCTGGCATTAGTGCTGAGGGGACTTTGGAGCTGGACTCTTAGGGACACATTTCCCAGGTTCAGGCAGGTCATTAGTATTTGTTGCTTCTCCTGAGCTATCAGTGCTACAAGACCTCATTCTCTCAGAGGCAAGTGAATTACTGTGTCATCTACAGTGCCGTGCTCTGTCGATACTCAGTCAAATTCCCCAGCTCACATTGCAGGGACCTGTTGCTACTGGATCTGTGTGAAGCATCTTCAATATTTCTCTTGGCCAACTCCTATCTGGAGTGGTAGTGCTTAATATAAGGGTCAGGCTGTGGCATACCCTGCTGTTGTGACTTGCTGAGTTGATAAGTTTATTTGCAGATGGTGTGGCAGATGAGAGTTGCAAATAGTGTAGAGGAACTGGTGGTTTTCTTGCTTGGAAAAGACTCTTGCCCTGCTCTGCTTTGCTTGGTGGGACAATAGCTGGCATGGCCTCAGCTAGAAGGCTGGCCTGCAGTGTTTTGGGGCAGTCTTACTGGCATCCCACTGATGCACAACAGTAGGTCAGATGCCTTCCTTCTGCCTTTGGTTTGGCTCTCAGAGACCTGATGTGGGTGGAGGCACAGGGAGGACAACAATTCACTGTTGAGTCTGGTCACAGCTTCCTGGCTTGGTCACTGCCAGCACAGCTGTGGAAGCAAGAAGTTTGGAAAGATACCCTAAGCTCTGTGGAACAAGGTTGTCTCATGACCACTTTAATCTGGCTGAAGAACAAGAGAACAGCAGGAAGATAGGTGCTGGTTACAACTTCCCAGCATCTCTTTATGTGTTACCTGTGATCACAGACGTGCCATGAGCTGAACTATGAGCATATCCAGGTGCAATTTTCCCCACTCCCCTTGCCCTGCTTCTGCGTTGGCTTTCTCCAGAAGACTGGACATTCTGTCTTGGAAATAGAGATTCTGACCCATCTCACAAAGTTGTCCTCTCTGCACCAGCTGGGTTCATGTCTCTTCTTCTTCCTATCACTTCTTGGTATGGGAGAAGGATCTGAGAGGAGTTTTGTTCCTGTCTTCACAGCTCTTCTGGATGGTAGAGCTCTTCTGCCAGATTTTCCCCTCTACTGGGTGGGAGTCTTTTTGCTCATTATCTTCTGTGCATACAGTGTTCCAAGGAAAAGGCACTGTACCTGAGGATAACATCAGCCTTACTGGAGGCCTTTGGGTGCCTGGAATCAGGAACATCCTTGTGAGTAGGCAGGACAGAGACCAGAGGATGTACTGCATTCCTTGTGCATGCCAGGAGCCTCCAGACCCCCTTGCACCCTGTCCCTTGTCTGTGCCTTTCCTTTTGCTGACTTTTGCCCGGTGCTCGTAAGTATCCTTGTCTGAAGTGTGTGTCATGCCAGCTCCCCTTGCCTTCTTTGTCCTCCTCTGCCAACTGATTAGCAGAGGGGCTTGTTTTGGCAGGGTTGTGTCTGCCCGCTTCTTGCCTGTCAGTGTTGGTTTTCCACCCAAGTGCTGCAGTGTTGTCAGCGTGCTTAGCTCTGACTTGGCTTCTCTGTGGCCTGTTTCAGTGCGAGGAAGCAGCCTATGAGGAGCGGCGTTACCCAGCTGGGAAGTGGGCGTGTGTCACCAAGGGGGAGCCCATGTATGAGCAGAGCATCTCCATGAGCTTCATGAAGCTCATGCGCTACATCTGCAAAGAGAACTCAGTAGGTGTGTGCAGGCAACGGCTGGAGGGGCTGGCAGGCTGCACAGAGGGAGGGCTTTGCTACTGTCCATCTGGAGTGGGGAGGAGCGCTGCCACTTCTGACCCACCTGTCTAACTGCCTTCCTACCTCCTTCTAGGTTGCTATCTGGGCATGACAGTCCCGGTGCTCAATGAAATCCACCTGACCAAAGATGAGACCGAGCTGGAGCGTGAGGTCGTAACTGCCTATTATCTCCCAGGAGAGTTCCAGCAAAATCCTCCTGTTCCCATGGATCCTGAAATCCACATCACTGAGAGGGCACCGCTCCGGGTTATAACCAGGTGACCCCAGCACCAGAGGTGTTTTCTCAGCTCAGCGGAGATGTACGAACTCCCTGCATGGCTGCTGTGGTTCTTTGGGCAGAGGGATGGGAGCCCTGGCTGTGGGAAGGGGAATGTGCTGGCTCTGTTACTTATGTTACTTATGTTGCTTCCTTTGCTGCAGGGTTTTCTATGGGATGACCACTGAAGAGACAATTCTGCGGGAGATCAATCTCTTCTGGGAGCTCTTGGGCTCCACAGACACTGTGCTCCGGGAAACCTACATTGTGGCTTCTTATGAAAATCCCAGCATCCCTCAGCGCCGCAATGAGATCTGGTTCATCTGCCGAGCAGAGTGAGTCCCCTCTGTGACTGCAAACCGTCCTGTGACTGGACCTGGTGCAGATGGCAGTTCTGACCCAAAGAAGATGGAGCATGTTCTGACCCACTATTCACCCACAAAATGACAGACCAAGAGACTGCAGGGTGGGTTTGCAGCCTGCCCTGCAAGGGTTCTGTCAGGGGAAATCCTGCCTGATCTGCACTTCACCTGCCCCCACAGGGGCCAGCTGAGGCTGGAGCTGGCACCAGGGACAATCTCTGCAGCAAGCTCCTGGTGGGAAGCATATGGTGGGGGGTCATTGAGGCAGTAACCATGTGGGCTTGTGCAATGTGCTAGCCTGACCTGTGCTCCTCTCAGCTCTGAGCTGGGCTTGCAGAGCTGTGCCAGGTATGCCAGTGGGGCTTGTGGTTGGCAGAAGCACAAGCTGATGGTGTCTAGAAAGCAAATGACTGTGTATAAGGTGTGGGGCTCTGTGTGGCCTCTGGCCTGCTTCCTGTGAGAATGGCTGCCTGTCCCGAACAGAGCCACTGAAATGCTGCTACGGGAACAGTGGGATTTGAAGGGGGAAAAGGCTTGAATTCAGGTGGGAATCCTGAATGCTTCCTGCCGGGGTGGCTCTCTTTGTACTGTTGGATGCCTCCCTGGCTGTCACTCAACAGTCGTCAGCCAGGACTGGGGCGCTGGCAGCCTTTGTCCATCCAGGTGCTGTTTTGCAGACCTGCTGCTGAGAGGGACAGGTGCTGACAGCAGCAGGCGTGGCACCACTGTGTGTTGTGCATTGATCAGTAAGTTTCACATCCATGAATACCGTCATGCTTTCCTGGGGGAAGCTGGCAATGCCAACAGTAAATAAACCCAGCTCAAACCACTGCAGCTACGGATCACTGATGGTGGGGATGTGGGGTGGCTTGGGAAGAGGCTTGCTGTCTCCTTCCTGAAGATGCTCCAGGCTGCAAAGCTGTGGCTAATTTGAAGGGCTCTAATGTTTGCCCAGGTTATGACCCTGTGTTAAGCCAAGCACAGCTTCTGCACTGCTGCACATGCTGCTTCTGTTGCTACTGCAAACAACTCTGGGCACGCTCCCCTGCCAGTAAGGTGCTTTGCTGTTGGATGGGGTCTGCTCTAGCCTCATTTTTCTCCATGCAAAATGTGGATCCTTTGGCTGTACTGCACATGGGCTCCTGATCTTTGGGGGTGAGAATTCTAATGTGACTGTATGTCATGCTGGTTGGCCGCAGAAACACGTACTTCTGTAGGGATGTGTTTAACTGGCTTGGTGTCAAGGGACTTGTGACTGCTTCTGACCCAGTTCCCAAGGGGTTTCCTCCTGCTGTGACTGAATGTGTGCTGTGTGGCTCGCTGCCTGCTGCTCAGACTCTGGCTCTGGCCCTTTGGCCCTACACTGCAGCTGGAGGGTAGGAATGGGGGGAAAGCCAGGGCCAGCTCTGTGGTCTCACTGCCTTTAGCAGCACGGGTGGCTTCTGCCACTCCTTTCTTCAGTCAGATGCTGTTCACTGGCCTCTCCAGGCTGCCTTGCCCTCTGGCAGCAAGGAGTCTGGCTACCTAGCTGGTGGCTGTGGGGAGAGTGGGGCTGAGCACGTTACATCCTTCCCTGCAAGGGAGCAAGGAAGCTTCAGGCAGAGTCTGGGCAAGCACAGCAAGGGCAGACAGTGGTTTCCTGGGTATCTTATGGTGCAGTTCTTGTTCCTGGGGCACTAAAGGCAATATGGAGTGGGGAGAGGCAGTGACAGCCTGCAGCTCTGAGGCTGATGTGGTAAGTGCTCCTCAGACAAGTCATGATACCTGGGTCAGCAGTGCTGAACTCACTTTCTCTCCTGGGGAAAAAGCAGCAATGCTCTTATGTGAGGCTCAGGTCAGGTGGCTCAGTATCAGTGGGAGAGAAAGTCTGCCAGTGTGTGTGGGACAGAGACACTTTCTCTTACTACACATTAGCTGCTTTGCTTGTCTTGAGTTGCAGGTTGAAATAAAACTTCCTTTCTAGAGCTTTTTGAGTAGGGTACCACTTCCTCTGAGGCTTCTTGGTCCCCAACCACAACCAGAACAGCTTTTGGTGGCAGGAGATGATGGCTTCCCTACACGAGGGGACTAGTCTGTGGTTACTGGCAAAGTTCCTTAGCTGCATGCCCTGTGGGAGCAGCTCCGTGGTCTTCCAGGAGGTGGTAATGGAGGCTTCTGGTGCAGCACCAGAGTGGTACTGCCACACAGGGCAGCAGCACGCTCCAATCCTGTGCCACAGGTTTTGCTGAGTACAGGCTTCAGCATCCTCTGTGATGGATTCAGCAGCGCTTGTGGGGATGTTGTGTGCCTGATGGCAAGACTTCCATGCAGTACCAAAAGCAGCTAGCATTTTGGAGGCTCAACAAACCGGCTGGAAAGCTGGCGTTCAGAGCTACAGCTGTGAAAGCCCGTGTTGCAGGACTGCAGCACATTCTACCGCAGGCATTGGGTCGGGCAGAGAGGCCCTCCAGCCATGCAGATGGCCAGACCAGCTAATGCCTCGGCTTGGGCCCTGCAGAGGAGCAGCAAGGGGCAGGCTTCTTGTGCTGTGTCCAGCCCTCTGCCCCTAGCAGGGTGTGGAGCTCCTGGCCCCTGCTGCCCCAGTGCCTTCATAGGGTCTCTCACAGCGGTACAGACCGGGAGCTTCTGCCATCAACTTAACAGCCCGACTACGAGGAGCTCCTGGGCGGGAAGGGACCTCTGTCGCTTCCTCGCTGCTCCGGGCACGCCGTGTTCGGCAGGAGCAGGGGTCGCGCAGCGCAGGGGCCCCCGGCGCGGCCCTCACGGCCCCCGGTACCGGGGAGGCTCTGCACGATGACGCCGGCGAGCCCCTCGCCTCGCGATGGAGGCACGGGGGGTCCGAGCCTGGCACCGGCCGCGG